GGCAGAATAGACAATCCCCAGCATTATTCCCTCCCACATTCAACTAATTTACAACTATTAAAAAACTACAATAGCCAAGCTGGGGCCACTAGAGCTCACAGAAAGAGGAGGAGAGACCTACAGAGTTCATGAAGGCATGAGAAGGGCTGATGAGAGAAAGAAAGGACTGCTCCCACCATTTTGAGCCCCAGCCACTTCAAGGCTGGCCCTGGTGAGCACACGGAACAGGAGCTGGCAAAAGCTACAGCTGTGCTCTTTGGATGAAGTTGCTTGGAGGCAGCAGGGGAGAAGAGGGCCGTGGTAGCTTCCATGCCAGCAAGACCACTAACAGCGTTCCTGTGGACCCACTTAGGAGCAAGGGGCCACAGACAACTGAAAAAGGAGCCACTCAGAGGCAGTGAGTCATCACAAGGGAACTGCACCCGGTCCATCCCATGGGAAGTGTTTGAAGTGCAGGTGGTGTGGGAGACAGGCCACCAGGGGAACATTGGATCACAGCAATGACAACTGATCTGTCCCCCAATCAGTGCAGGACCACTCGGTAGAGTCTTCTCAGGAATATAGAACTGCAGGGGGTACAGTTTGCTGAAAAGACCCAGGCCCAGACCAGAGTTTCTACACAACCCAGGTGTACTAGATCTCACGAGACCAGGAAGTACCTACAAAGTCAACTATTAAAACCTGAGCTACACAAATAGCCTTCCCCACGGAATCAGCAGCAAATCAGCAATTTAGCTCAAACATGGAGCTCAAGTACTGGTCTCCACAGGAAGTTCCCTCATTTTAGAAGTAAGCAAAGGACAACAAATTAGTTCCAGTACAGAGTCTAAGTAGTGGGAACAGTGAGTAATCCAACACAGAACTGAAAGAAAAAACAAAACATCTACACACCAGAGACAAAGTTTGATATTAACTAGTAAAGGTCTCCCTTCACCAAAGAACACCTATAAAACCTAGAAGGACCAGAATCCCCCTGGTCCCCCAAGCCAGGGAGTGGGGAAAGCCAGAGGCTTCAACCGTGCCCCCCAACACACATAACCAGTCTAGTGTCAACCACTGAGACATCACAGGAAGCACCCCGGGCTCCCAAGCTGGGGCAGTGGGGGGCTGAGAACTTCTACCACATTCCCCCAACATCTGCAACCAGCCCAGTGACGACCACTGAAGCACTGCTGGAAGCCCCCTGGTCTCCCGAGCCAGGGAAGTAGGGGGCTGAGGGCTTCAGCCACACATCTCTGACGTCTGCATTCAGCCCAGCAACTACCAAGCCACCACTGGAAGTCCCCTGGTCTTCCCTGCAAGAATGAGGAGGATGCCAAAGGCCTCAACCACACCTCCTCTCCTTCTTCCTTCTTCCACCCTATCTCCTTCCCCCCTCCACCTCCCACCCAACTGCTCTGCAACAGCAACTTAAAATATAAAAATGGATGGATCCGGGGCTGATTCCTCCTGCCCATAACCAGGCAAGGAGCACACCAAAAACACCACTTCCACGTGGGTGGCCCACCATAGCCAGCACAATAGGCACAGCTGCTGCAAATGTGGCTAGATGCCACAACCACTGTGCAGATGGCCCGCCAGCCACTGGAGTGCAGTGACACAAGGAGAGTCACCAACAGAAACCAAAGAAAAGAAGAGGATGTCTCTATCCACAAAGCCCATTCCAGAGTGACAGAAGAAGCATCTACATGACAATAATAGTGGGGGAACTGAACTTACCTCTCTCAATACTGGACAGATCACCGAGGCAACAAATTAGCAGAGTAACCATTACTCTCTCAGAAGGAGAGAAGAAATCTAGGGTTATCAGAGGTGGGGGGAGGGGATGGGGAGAGTTTGGAAAAGGGTCACAAAGAATAAGTAGGATTTGTAATGATGTATATACTAATAATACTGATTTGATCAACATGTCAACGTTGAACCACAAAAATATGTATGATCAATTATGATTTAATAGTAATAAAAAAAAGAAATATAGTTGGCAGACTTCTACCTCCAGGAGAATATAAAAAAGTATGTGTAGGAGGAAGAACTAACAGGTGAATAGTAAGCACAGCCTCCTTGCTACCTGAGGGAAGTGACTCCAGATTCATAAGGTGAAGTGTGGCCTCCCCACCTCTCCCTGCTGTTTCATCATAAAGTAAGACCCTCATAAATTCAAGGAGTCTCTCCAGGGTACAAAAAATAAAATATCTGTCTGACTCAATAACGATGATTCACGTACGTGTGGTTCCAGAACTTCCTCCCGTCCTCCCCTGCTCCCTGTGGGGCAGAAGTCTCTGCTCCATTTGACTGTGTTCTTTCCCTGCCCTCACTCTGGCCTTGCCAGACCAGTGCTTGGGCTTCAGTAAGGAAGTTCTTGGAGTAGGGGTAAGGGCTGGAGGAGAGTTTTATGGGGAAGAATTGAGATGCCAGGAGTGGTTTGACAAGAGATATGTGGGGCAGTTTGTAATGTGTGGGGGCAGCACATGGGAAAACAAAAAATGAAAATTTTAAGAAGTGTTCTTGGTACAATCACTTGGGAGAACAATTGGGGAACTGGTAATGAGCACGCCCTCCTGCTCAGCAATTCCAATTCTTGGAATATACCCTAGAGAAAATCTCACAAATGTGCCCCTCAGATATGTCCAAGGATGTCCATTGATGCACTGCTTGTAATCACAAAAAATTGGCCCTGCTGTAAATGTCCATAAGTAGGGGAAAGGAGAAGTAAGTAGTGTCGTGATGCAATGGGACATTCTACAAATCAGCAACGAACTAGAGATGTATAAAGCAGCACAGATACACCTCAAAAACATAACATTGAATGAGAAAAGCAAACTGCAGGACAATCCATACAGCATGATGCTGTGCATGTATTTTTAAAAACCAAAACAATGTATGGATATCCATGTGTGTGATGGAGTGGAAGAATAAATACCAAACTCATTTTATCAGTCAGGACAGGTTAGGTCCATGCCGCTGTAAGAAACAACACCAAGAATCTTAGTGGTTTATAACAACAGAGTTTATTTCTTGGTTATGCTCCATGTCCATCGGGGTCAGCAAGGGCTCTGCCCCACATGTTCTCACTCTGGAATCAGGCTGACCAGCAGCCACCAGATGTTGTAGCAGAGAGACTGAGAGCTTAAGCTTAGCAAATCACCCTGTTTCTCAAAGCTTCACCTTGGCCAAAGCAAGCCACATGGCCACACCTGACTTTAAGGGGGCCAGGCAAGAGCTAGCCTATTATGTGCCTAAAAGGAAAAGCATTGATTTTGTTACACAGCCCTACACCCATCACAATAATGACCTTTGGAAAGAGTACAAAGGGTTCTCCACCTTAACTGTAATCATTATTTTTAAAAATAGGAAGCAAAAATGTAAAATTTGTTAATTCTTTTTTTTTTTTTTTTTTTTGTGACCGGTAAGGGGACCGTAACCCTTGGCTTGGTGTCGCCCACACTGCGCTCAGCCAGTGAGCGCACCGGCCATCCCTAAATAGGATCCGAACCCGCTGCGGGAGCGCCACTGCGCTCCCAGCACCACACTCTCCTGAGTGAGCCATGGGGTGAGCCCGAAATTTGTTAATTCTGAAGGGAGAATACCTACTTGGGTGTTTGGTGTATTATTTTCCATTTTGTATCTTTTAATCTCAAAACTTAAAGTATAATTCTTTTTTTAATTTATAAAGAAAATAAAATTTATTGCTTACAGTTTCTGAGGCTGGGAAGTCCAAAGTCCATCTGGTGGGGGTGACAGTGACCCAGGGGTCTCACAAGACAGTGACCCAGGGGTCTCACAAGATGGTCTTGCAAGATGGTGGAAGCAGAGAGAGGAAGAAAGAGCTTAAAGTATAATTTTGTGTGTGTGTGTGTGACCGGTAAGGGGATTGCAACCCTTGGCTTGGTGTCGCCCACACCGCGCTCAGCCAGTGAGCGCACCGGCCATCCCTATATAGGATCCGAACCCGCGGTGGGAGCGCCGCTGCGCCCAAACGCTGCACTCTCCCAAGTGCGCCACGGGGCCGGCCCTAAAGTATAATTTTTAAAGTGAAGGTATAAATGAAACATTCATATTAAAAATTAGTTATGCATGTGCTTTCTGGAACCATGTTTCCTTTCATGGTGTTCAGGCCAAACATGAGGAAGGGGATTCAGTTGTTTTGTCTGCCCAGGAGTGATCTTTCAGACTTCAGCAGCAGCGTGCTGGGCTCTGGCCTCGTGTGCAGCAGTGCGGGTGTACCTGCGTGTTCGTGTGCAGCAGTGCAGTTGTACCTGCGTGTTCGTGTGCAGCAGTGCGGGTGTACCTGCGTGTTCGTGTGCAGCAGTGCGGGTGTACCTGCATGTTCGTGTGCAGCAGTGCAGTTGTACCTGCGTGTTCGTGTGCAACAGTGCGGGTGTACCTGCAGCAAGGCTCTCCCTGGGGTTGTCTGACTAACCTCAGCACCCTCAGCCCTGAACCTGCCACAAGGCAGGTACCTAGTAAATGCTTAATGAATGATTCTGATATGCTCATTTCTCCTTAAACAAGCCACTTCAGGGCAGGAACCACATCTTCCCCCTCTCAGCTCTCCTCTGAAACAAGGAATGAATGTTTGTTGAATGAATGAATGAGCACAGCCCTCCTTCTCTAACCCACCAATGGAAGCAGAAAATACATGGTCCTTTCCCCTCTACCAGGAGCCTCTCAAGAGTCTGTTTTTCTGCCGATTCTACCATATTTTCATTCCTGCACTGAAAAGCCACTGATTTATGTGTGATTTTATACCAGGGTAACCAACTCGTCTCAGCTTTTCTGAGACGTTGCTAGTTTTAGCACTAAAAGTCCTAAGTCCTAGGAACCCCCTCAGTCCCAGGCAAACCAGGATGGCTGGTCTCTCCACAGCAACTCCTATCTCATGTGTTTCTCGTCTTCATATGACAGGGCTGGATCTGGTCTCATCTCTGCATAACAGAGCTAAGGGTCTAAGAACAGGTCAAAGGAGAATACGTGAGCCAATGAAGGAAGAAAGATTCGACTTGGCACTTTCTGAGAGATCTTTATTCTTTATAAAGGATGTGATGTCGGGACTGCCAGCTGGACATTGATTCTAGTTTTTTGCTATGGTCTGGAAAAAGAGGGGGTGGGGAACAGAAGAGTCTAGTTAGTAGCATAGGTTCTGGAGCTGGATGCAACTGTGCTCCGTGCCCAGCGCTTCCACTCATGAGCTGTGTGACCCTGGGAGAGTGACTTGGCCTCTCTGAGCCTCTGTTTCCTCATCTGTACGGTAGGGGTAATAATAGTATTTACCTCATGGGGTTTCCTGATTAAGCTATTAACTGTGGTTCTCATCACGGCACCTGGCACAAGTGGCCTATAAATCATAGCTGTTACTGTTATCATGGTCACCTGTCCCCAGGTGAGGTCACTGCCCTCACTGGGGACCGAGGCCCCCATCGCTGCTCTCACCACAATTCATCATTACTGTTCATTTCCTCACCTGTCTCCCACCAGCTGGCCCTTTGTCTGGCATATCTTTCTATCCTCCATGACGAAAAGGACCAGAGGAGGCACTTCATAAGCACTTGTTGAAATAAGGAAGTTCAGCAGTAGTTCAAACCCCACCCAGAGCCATCAAGGTTCTTGGGGCCCCACTGTAGCAGAAAACATCCCCAAGCCCCCTTAAATGACCCCCAAGGGACGCCCACCACTGACCTTCCAGGATCCCTTCAGGCCCCCTTTAGGGTCTGTTCTTTCTCCCCTGTCCCCTCAGCACCTTTCTGAACAGCCACCACCCTGGGGCCCTCCGGGTGTCCTGTTCTCACCTCCTCGATCCAGTCGATGAAGGCTGAGATCCGAGTGAACACCGTGGGCTTCTTGCGGGTGTTGCAGCCAAGGGAAGAAACAAAGCTGGTCACACCGTGGACCTGCCAGGTGCCATCATCTGCAGGGCAGTTGAGGGGTCCTCCAGAGTCACCCTGGAATGAGTTGGAAGGAGTTGGTTCCAAGCGTTAGGGATTTGAGACACCCCCCATTACTTGACCTCTCTGAACCTTAGTTTGCCCATTTTTGATGAGGAGTAATAATATCGGTCTTACAAGATTGTATGAGAATTAAATGAGATGATAAACAATCTTAGCACAACAGCAAGTAGAGAGGAAGCACTTAACAAACGGAAGTTCCCATTATTAGTACCAGTTAATTATTAAGATTATTATTCACATGCACTTATAATACAATGATACTATTCTCAATGTTTAGTTATAACTTCAGAACCACAGAGTTGGTGTGACTTCAGAAGTCATGGTGCCTGTATCCCTTGCTGTGTTGAGGACCAGGGAGGGACAGTGACTTGTCCCAGGTCAAGTCAGTGTGTGAGCTGGGACTGGAATCCAGGGGTCCTGACTCCTAGGCCTGGGCTCCATGTCTGGGTGATACAGATTTCCTCCAAGCCCTGCGTGATCTGGAGGCTGAATGGGGCAAGCAGGCAAGATACCTCCTCCACTTTCTAGGCAGATGGCAGAGGTGCCTCAGGGCCCTGCAGGCCCAGTGGCATCTTGGGCAGGTGACAGCTGACTCACATTGCAGCCGGAACGGATGTCCCCGCCAGCACACACCATGGTCTTCTTCACAGTGGAGCCCCACCAGAGCAACCTGGAGCAGTGTGCATAGTCCACCACGGGCAGCAGGGCCTGCTGCAGAATGTCTGGGAGTTGCCCATTGGCTGTGGGGACAGAAAAAATGGAGTGGGGACTCTGGGTGTGCAGAGCTGGGAGCCCCAGAGTGGGGTACATTCAAGGCACAAAGCTCTTCTGGCCTGATGGGGACTCTCTTCCCACTGCTTGGTATGGTCCAGAATGCTTTGTGCAACATTATACCTCCAGCACCTGGCATGCAGGGGACACTAAAACATGTTCAGTGGGGGCCAGCCTATGGCTCACTTGGGACAGCGTGGTGCTGACAACACCAAGGCAAGGGTTAAGATCCCCTTACCAGTCATCTTTTAAAAAACAAACAAACAAAAACATGTTCGATGGAACATTCACGTTTGGGAGGATGGAAGGAGAAGGCTGCAGCTGGGGAAAAATGAGAAAAAAACACAAGGACCAGCACTGGGGTCACCTTCAACCCTCACCCCCAGGCCCTGTCTTTCTGCCACAGTCCCTTTCACCAGCTAGAGGGGTCAGCACGTACTGGAGAGACGTCCCCAGCCGGTGATGTAGCAGGGTGTGTCATGGGCCAGGATGTCACCAGCGGGAGGGAGGGAGGCAGGCTGGACTGCGTATCCCAGCTTGGCGCTGCTCGAGAGCTTGATGAGGGCGATGTCATTACTGGGGATGAGGGAAGAGTCATGAGGAGCCTCATGCCACAGCCAGACCAGGTCTCACCTCCCAGTCTTTGCTTCAGGCGCTTTCACCTCTGGGACACCCCCACTGCTCCGTTCCCATCCAAATCCATTCTTAAGCCTGACAACTTTCTTCCTTTTTTCTTTTCCTGTTCTTTCTTTTTTTGAGCAACATTAAGAAGCCCTCCCAGCCCCTCAGCTCACGCTGACCCTTGGCCTTCCTAATTGTCTGACTTTTACAGCAGTGGTTCTCACACTTCAGCTGCACCAGGTCACCTGGAGAGCTTGTTAAAACACCGCTTGCTGGGTCCCTCCCCAGAGTTTCTCATGCAGGGGGTCTGGGCTGAGGCCCAAGAACTCACGTTTCTACAAGGTTCCCTGGTGAGGCTGATGCTGTCGGCCCAGGGACCACACTTTGAGAACCACTACTGTGACTTCATCTGCCTGCTTGTCACCCAGATTTCACCTGGATCTGCTTTTTCTCTCTGCTTACCCCAGGAGCCCGGGGTGGCCGGGGGTCCCTGTTGTGATGGCCCCGCACTCCCGCACTCCTGCACTTCTGGGGACTCTGCACCCTTCTTTGACACTCTCACCAAAAAAACTGAGCCGCCCAGACATTTAATTTTGTGTACACTTGAGGGGCTGATGATGGTCCCCGTGGGGCTGCCCAGTAGCAGTTAGTTAGAGCTCAGTGTTATAATATCAAAGTCAAGGTTTCAGATCCCGGTATGGGCCAAAAGCCACCAAAAAATACAAGATGGTCTCGACCTTCACAACCACCCAGGAAGTCCTGCCCTTTGACAAATGGCAAAACTGAAGCCCAGAGAAGGGCAGTGACTTGCCCGGGCCACAGAGAGTTAGTGTCAGAGCCTGACTCAGTCCAGTGCCCCTCCTTCAGCCCACGGGGACAGGACGCCAGGAGGTGCTGGATGAGCATCTGAAAGGAGGAGCCCTTGGAAGTGGAGGGGCCGCCAGAGGACTGCTGGGTTCTGCAGCCAAGCAGACAAGTGGCTTTAGGGGAGTTCCTGCCCCTCCCTGAGCCCTGCTGTCCCCTGTGTAGGAAGAGGTGATTGGTGTCGATAATCCTTCTAGGCTCTGCTGGCTCCAGCCCTCAGCGTGTGGGACGTGGGCACACGCTGCTGGGCCAAGCCCCACTGTCCCTGGGAGTCCNGGCAGGCAGGCTGGACTCTGTCTCCCAGCTCGGCGCTGCTCGAGAGCTTGATGAGGGCGATGTCATTGCTGGGGATGAGGGAAGAGTCATGGGGAGACTGGTCCCCCAGCAGGACCAGTTCTCACCTCCCAGTCTTTGCTTCAGGCGTTTTCACCTCTGGGACACCCTCACTGCTTCGTTCCCCTCCAAATCCATTCTTAAGGCTGAGCAATTTCCTTTCTTTTTTCTTTTCTTTTTTTGCTTTTCCTTTTTTTCTTTTCCTGTTCTTTCTTTCTTTGAGCAACATTAAGAAGCCCTCCCAGCCCCTNATGCAGGTTTCCTCCAATTCCTGCCTGGCCTGGAAACTGAATGGGGCAAGCAGGAAAGATATCTCCTCCACTTTCTAGGCAGACGGCAGAGGTGCCTCAGGGCCCTGCAGGCCCAGCGGCATCTTGGGCAGCTGACAGCTGACTCACATTGCAGGCGGAACGGATGTCCCCTCCGGCACACACCATGGTCTCCTTCACGGTGGAGCCCCAGTCACAGTGGAGCCCCACCAGGTACGCTGGGAGCAGTGTTCATAGTCCACCACGGGCAGCAGGGCCTGCTGCAGAATGTCTGAGAGTTCCCCGTTCGCTGTAGGGACAGAGAAAATGGAGTGGGGACTCTGGGTGTGCAGAGCTGGGAGCCCCAGAGTGGGGAACATTCAAGGCACAAAGCTCTTCTGGCATGACAGGGACTGTCCTCCCACTGCTTGGTATGGTCCTGAATGCCTTGTGCACCATTATACCTCCAGCACCTGGCATGCAGGGGACACTAAAACATGTTCGATGGAACATTACAGTTTGGGAGGATGGAGGGAGACGTCTGCAGCTGGAGAGAAATGGGAGAAAAATGCCAAGAACCAGTCCTGGGGTCACCTTCAACTCCCGGCCCTGTCTTTCTGCCACTGTCCCTTTGGCCTGCTAGAGGGGTCAGCACGTACTGGAGAGACGTCCCCACCCGGTGATGTAGCAGGGTGTGTCATGGGTCAGGATGTCACCAGCAGGAGGGAGGCAGGCAGGCTGGACTCTGTCTCCCAGCTCAGCGCTGTTCGAGAGCTTGATGAGGGCAATGTCGTTGCTGGGGATGAGGGAAGAGTCATGGGGAGACAGGTCCCCCAGCGGGACCAGGTCTCACCTCCCAGTCTTTGCTTCAGGTGCTTTCACTTATGGGACACCCCCACTGCTCCAATCCCCTCCAAATCCATTCTTAAAGCTAAGCAATTTCCTTNTGTATTGCCTATGGCTGTTTTCATGCTTCAGTGGCAGAGTTAAGTCTTTGCTATAGAAACCATATGACCAACAAAGCCTGAAGTATTTACTCTCTGGTCCTTTACAGGACAAGCTTCCTGCCCTATCCAATAGAACTTTCTGTGATGATGGAAATGTTCTATGGCTTTCCTGTCCAATATGGTAGCCACTCGCCACATGTGGCTATTGAGCATTTGAAATGTGGCTAGAACAGAGGAACTGAATTTTTGACATGATTTAATTTAAATTAATTTGCATTTGAAGAGCTACATGTGCTCGTGGCTACTGTATTGGG